GTCCTGCTCTCCCATCAATGCTGGGGTGGTCTTGGACCTGACCTTCTGTGCTGCATTGTCAGGATCTCAGAGAAGCCTCCCAACCACTCACCACCTGTATCTCTTTTAGGTGTTCCCTGCAGGCTGTGAGCAAGTGATAGCAGCTAGAAAACTCATGCAGTGTCTCCCTAGCGTGGAGGATGTGAAGATGGCCCTGGAGCTGTATAAATTGTCTTTGGAAATTGAACGCCTGGAACAGCAGGAGGACAAGGCAAATAAATCCCTTCTGTAGTCACCACTCTGATTTTTCCCCGAAGGTGCCCTGCATCCTTCCATTCAGTATGGGTCACTTTAGTTTAGAACTCTGCCATTCTTTTGCATTGTAATGAATACCTAAAAAATGTTAATTTTTTTATTTTGCTAGTGCTCTGAGATTATAGAATTGTTGATAATCTTGTGGCTCACATTTTTGCTTTTTTGGACACAAATTGCACATTTTTCCATTAAAAATTTACTTATAGAGTACAATTTTGTCTTTGTGGTCATTGAAGCTCTGTGAAATGTGGTCCATATACAGACCCCAAAATGTATTTTCATGAAGTTACTACATTAATTGTATTGTATTGGTCTTGGTTGTGGACTTGGGTTGGCGTCAGTTATATTTTCCTGGATTACCTCACTCCATGTTCCCCATGTGCAAATCACCAGGTCCTCAGTATTTACATTAAATGTCAACATGCCCCAAAAGTCTTGTCCACTCTCTCCTATTGGCAGAGAGTTGCACCCTTTGTAAAGCCCCAAGTGCTTGCTCTCTGACTTGCTAAGGCTGCCTCTTGACTTGATCTTATATGAAGGGCATTTACATGTGTCTGACCCCTTCTTTCATCCTCAGAGATCAAACTCTGAAAGCTCGGTGAAGGTGAAGCCCACGTGACAGCTCCTGTGCATTCGCAAGTCCTCCACCTGATCTGGTTCTCATTTTCTTTAATAGACAAGTAAAAAGCCTTGAGCAACTATCCCACACACAGGGAGACACCCCATGCGAATCGCTTTTATATCTCGAGGTATTTCGGAGGCTCTACTCACTTCCACTCACCACTTCCTCCAACCTTGCATCCTCTGCAATGAGGTCCATATACAAACCCAACAATGTTTTTACATAAAGTTACTACTTTCACTGTATTGTATGGGTCCTGCATGTGGACTTGGGTTCTCACTCATATCTCAGCTCAACTGGCTTGTTTGTCTTTCCCTAGTACACAGTACCTTATGGTTAACATTGGCCTCTTTTGTGTAATTTTCCCAAACACACTCTGAAGAGGCAATGGCGTAGAGCAGGCTTTCAGTAAATTACAGATCTTATAGAGGGGCTTGGACTGTTAGGGAAACCCCCTTACTGGGAGGTATCTATCCTTGGTGTTGAATGCCATTTCCTGCTCCTGCTATGAGGAATTCCTTTTGCTTCATGTTTATTTTGAGTTTCATTGAGGCAAGAACATGTGGGTACCTATTTTCCCTGAGAAGTGGTCCCAGAAAGCTCGGCAAGTGGGTGGGGAGTAAGATGAAGAGGTGAGGGCAGTTTAAAGAGGGAGTATTGCTGAGGGGATTATTATTGCTGTTGCTGACAGGAGCTCAGTTATGCTGACTGCCCTCTGAATGTGTGTGGAACCCAACTATGATTTGTCCTCTAGAGAATGAAGACCAATGGTAATTAGCCAATAGGTCTTGCTCTCAGGACACCTGCCTCCACTGCAGACCAGCTAGGCATGCTCCTGGCCACGCTGACACTGGTGCCCAATGTCACCTAAGGGACTGTGTGAAGTAACCTCCAGGGTAGAGATATGGACAGACAAAGCAGACCCTGGGGTTGGAAGTGGTCCACAGTGTGCCAAAGTGAGAGGGCCCTAGTGATCTTGAAAGGAATTTGACAGTGTCTGCCACACACTTGGACATGCAGTGTAGGCTTTCCTGTCTGTGTACTTGCTTTTCTGTTCTGTCTGCCTTTGGTTTTTGAATTCATGTTCTCCTCTTTCTTCATGTATTTCCTCATAGAAAGTAAAATATTGAGTTCCTACATATTTGAAAGTGTTTTTATCCAAATACTTGATGGATAATTTGTTGAACTTTTTTGATTATATCCTGAGTTTGGCATTTAGTTTAGCCTCCCAGCTACCTGACACAAGCTTCCTTTAAATATTGACAAGGACGCCTTCTGGCTTTCACAATTGGATTTGAATTGTGATTGGTTGCCTTGATCTTTCATTTTTTCAGTTAAGGGGCACTGAGTCTGTATTAATGGTACCCAGTCACCCAGTTTCACAACCATCATTTACATTTCCACTGCCCCTCTCAAGTGTCCCAGGTATTGCACAAGCCAATGCACCACCTTCCATCTACATACCATGGCACTTACCAGGTGAAAATGTTCACAGCTGCAATGCTACAGCAAGCCAGCACTGTCAATATTCACCCATGACCAGTGATTGCCAGGTGGCTGGTGGGTGAACCAAGTCTAGAATCCCATTCTTAGAGTTTGCCTTTGAGGTCCACTTGTGGTACAAACTGTCTTCAGTCAGTTTCTACACAATGGATGTAGATGTATCTAAATTTTTGATAGTGTGCTCATCAGGAAACACACACACACACAAACACACACACACACACACACACACACACACACACACTCTCTCTCTCTCACACAGACACTAACTATCTAAGAGGTTTGAGGGCAGGTTACTTTTTCTATATTAACCAGTTTCCTCATTTATGCAATGAGGAAGTTAAAACCTGTGACCTAGGGCAGTGGTCAGCAAACTCATTACTCAACAGAGCCAAATATCAACAGTACAATGATTGAAATTTCTTTTGAGAGCCAAATTTTTTAAACTTAAACTATATAGGTAGGTATATTGTTATTAACTTAAGTAGCGTACTCCTAAGGCGTAGGAAGAGCCACACTCAAGGGGCCAAAGAGCCGCATGTGGCTCACAAGCCCCAGTTTGCCGACCAGGGTAGGGTTTTTGAAGATTAAGTATGATAATTTATATAAAGTTCTGGTACCCTACCTGCTGAAAGTTTAAAAGCAGGTTTCTGGTTAATCTTTTAAATCACTTCTCTTTATTGTGATTCCTCTTTCTAAAGGAAGTAGCCATTTGGTGGCTTTGTTTTCCTTGATCTCTAGGAAGTTGACATTTATTTGTGCTTTCCTCAGCATTCCAAAGAGTTTCACTCAGTTCTATTTGGTAATTCTTCTCATTTATTTTTGAGAGAGAAGCATTTTGGTTCCTATGGGTACATGGTAGTCATTCCACTTTAGCTGAGTAGTTAAGATCCCTTTAGGACGATTTCCAGAGCTTACTCTTTTGTTTGAGGCAACTATCTAAGCACAGATATCCACAGCGGGTGGGCAAGATATGGAATCCAGGTTGGTAGTCTCATCTGTCCCACTTAAGGAGACAAGTTAGGCAATAATCTGGATGAACAGTCAGGCAGTCTTCGATGGTTAAGAGACACTTAGTCTTGGGGTTACCAATTCACGAAGCAGAACAAATGCGTCTTCCATTCACGTGTCCCTTACTGCTCAGGGACAAAGCACTGGGCTTCCTCCGCATCCAGCATCATCCAGACAGTTGAAAAGGCACACTGAACCTTCCTTTCTCCTTAATTGATCACCTCCAGCATTTCCCTTTCAGTGCATGCTTCTCGGGTGCAGACACGGACTAGCATAGTTCCCACACTAGAACGGTTTCATAGAGTGAGTCATTTGGTGTTTTATGTATATCAGCAAACCCAGGAAGTAAAGAAGCTCCCATTGAAGTATTATAAGAAGAACTAGAGACCTGATGCACGAAATTTGTGTTTGGGTTGGGGGTGTCCCTCAGCCTAGCCTGTGCCCTCTCACAATCTAGGACACCTCACTCCTATCTGCCCACCTGCTTGCTCCTAACCACCTGCCTGTTCACTCCTTAGTCTACACGTGCTGGCTCCTTACCCATTGCCTCACAGCTCCTTATTGCTGCTGAGAGGTGGGAGAGGCTCCCGCCACCACTGCTGCACTCACCAGGCATGAGCCCAGCTTCTGACTGAGCAGTGCTCCCACTGTGGGATCGCACTGAACACCAGGGGGCAGCTCCTACATTGAGGGACTGCCCCCTGGTTGTCAGTGTGCCTCAGTGACCTTTGTTCTGGTCGCCCGGCTGTTCTGCCATAGCAGTTGCTGGATATATATATATTATTGTTTAGAATGGATTCTTGAGTATTTTTCCACAGACTCATATTAGACTCTTCTGTCTAGACCAGTGATGGCGAGCCTTTTGAGCTCGGTGTGTCAGCATTTTGAAAAACCCTAACTTAACTCTGGTGCCGTGTCACATATAGAAATTTTTTGTTATTTGCAACCATAGTAAAACAAAGACTTATATTTTTGATATTTATTTTAAATATTTAAATGCCTTTTAACAAAGAAAACTCAACCAAAAAAATGAGTTCGCGTGTCACCTCTGACACGCATGTCATAGGTTCGCCATTATTGGCCTAGACCATAGGCTAACTAGAAAGAAATTTAAATTTCTACATTAAAACTTTATTCTATGAGCAATTCAAACCCCAAATGGAAGAAACTAATTTGTTGGACAAGGACTGTTTCTCAGATAGTTTCCTTCTTTCATACTATGCCTTGCAATTCCTGGAGAGCCCACCCATACCCTGTGCATCAGGACCTGCAATCCCGGTGCCTATTGCCTTTGTTTACTCAGAGAGGAATCATATGTCCAGAAAGAAACTCATTACCGTTACCATCCCAACAGCGATGAAGTCTTGGGTTACAATAGTAAATATGTACAGAACCCCACCGGGCTCTTGCATCAAGCTCCACACTCTTCTTCCCAAAACTTTCCAGCTCACCCTGACAGAGCTGTGCTCAGCACCTGGTCTCCTAGTCACTCCCACTGCCCCTCCCCTTTAGTAACACAGGGCTGGGCCTTTGCCAAGGCCAAGTTCCTTAGTTTAGGCACCATTTTCACGGTTACTTACAGAACATTTCTTCATTTTGATTCGAGGTGTCTAAGAGAGCTGAGCCCAGTGTGGCCCCTCTGAGACTCTGCACCATGTCCCCCAAGTTGCAGAGCATTCTCCCAGCCCTGTACCTCCTGGGGGTCTTGACCCTACTGCTGTGCCCTTCAGGCCTGTGTGGTGAGTACAGTGGTTATTGGGGAAAGGAGGTAGTTTCTCTAAGATATAAAAAAATACCAAACAACAGTTCATCAAATGTAGTCAAGTGGTGGCAATTTATCAGCTTTTTGAAAGAGTAAGATGAACTACGTTATTAATAAAATGAAGAATTTTAAAATCTAAAAGAAATTCTTCTAGATAGAGGCTGTTATTATGTCTAGAATAATTGTGTTGATATGTAAAAATTCTCCTGAGGCTGCTTTAGCAAGGAATAATCTTTAATTTTCAAATCAATTTCCTACATTTCAGTGCTCCAAAATGTTTGCAATATATTTACCTTCTAACTAAGTTAATTATGCCATCTACAATCTTAGTTAGTGATTCATTGAGGGGAGGGAATTTCATCAGTAAAGAAAAAATATTGTCTGTTATCACAAATACTTAGTATTTCTAGAGTAAAATGTAGGGCACTTGGAGAACTATAAAAATTATATGAAGAAGAAATAAAAGAGTTTAAAAGAACTTAACCAGAACTGTTCCAAGATTTGTTGTGAAAATTAATTTGTTGTTATATTATCTCAATGGAAATGTCCTTTAAGCAAAATATTTTTCTCTTGTGCTAGAATTTTATTTTTTACTTGAGAGAATTCATCCTCATTATGAAGATATTTCTATGCATATTCCCTGAAAATGGCTATCATGGCATAAAAAAATGTAGGATTTGATATTGCTTTGAGGGAAAATTCTGAATCTAAAATAATAGTTGAATGTTCTCATGTGAGCCAGCAGCTTGATTTGAAAGTGGGGAAGCCATGCCTTCTCCATCACTGAGAGAGGTGGGGGGAAAGCATGGGTTTATTAAGGAAGAATTCTCCCTGGAAGGCGATTTTTCCCTCAAACACCTGAACATTACTGAGGAGTAGCACTACGATTAGGTTCTAGAAGAACATTCTGCCCAGGGGATGTTCAGAACTCCACGTTGTCTCTGAGTTCTCCTCCCTTAGAGCCTGAGGTAACAGAAGAAAACCTTATTAAGTTGGTCAACATCTTTCAATTATTTCTTCATGTGTCTGTTTCCCTGTCTCCTTTCCTCCTATTTCATGAAATCTTCCAGTATCTATGGCCTCAACCCTTTGAAATGGCATTTAATGTCTGTCAGCTTTGACCTGAAATCTCCCTTTCTGATTCTGCCTCCCCTTTTCTTTATAGTAACAACCTTCTGAGGCCAGAGACTTGGCTCATTGCCTCCGTATTGATCTGCCTCTGCTATCTTATCAGCTACTCGCTTCTACCCATCCTTCGTGTATCTCCACGTCATTCCTGGACATCTTTCCCTGATACGCCAGGCCTCAGTTCTGTCAACCTTTTCTTTTTTTTTTTTTTTTTAATATATTTTTTATTGATTAAGATATTACATATGTGGCCTTGTCCCCACGTTACCCTCTACACCCCCCCCCCCCCGCTCATGCCCTCTCCCCCCCGTTGTCCATGTCCATTGATTAGGCCTATATGCTTGCATATAAGTCCTTTGGTTGATCTTTCCCCCTTACCCCCACCCTCCCCTACCTTCCCTCCAAGTCCCGACAGTCCAATCAATGCCTCTCCGTCTCTGGACCAGTCCTTGTTCACCAGCTTATGTTGTTCATTATATTCCACAAATGAGTGAGATCCTGTGGTATTTATCCGCTCTCCAGTTCCATCCATGCTGTGGCAAATGGTTAGAGTTCCTTTTTCTTCTTCCTCTTCTTAAAGAATACCTTTCAGCATTTCATATAATGCTGGTTTGGTGGTGATGAACTCCTTTAGCTTTTTCTTATCCGTGAAGCTCTTTATCTGACCTTCTATTCTGAATGATAGCTTTGCTGGATAAAGTAATCTTGGTTGCAGGTTCTTGCTATTCATCACTTTGAATATTTCTTGCCACTCTCTTCTGGCCTGCATGGTTTCTGTTGAGAAATCAGCTGACAGTCGTATGGGTACTCCCTTGTAGGTAACTGACTGTCTTTCTCTTGCTGCTTTTAAGATTCTCTCTTTATCTTTTGCTCTTGGCATTTTAATTATGATGTGTCTTGGTGTGGTCCTCTTTGGATTCCTTTTGTTTGGGGTTCTCTGCGCTTCCTGGACTTGTAAGTCCATTTCTTTCACCAGGTAGGGGAAGTTTTCTGTCATTATTTCTTCAAAAAGGTTTTCAATATCTTGCCCTCTCTCTCCTTCTGGTACCCCTATAATTCTGATGTTGGTACGCTTGAAGTTGTCCCAGAGGTTCCTTACACTATCTTCATATTTTTGGAATCTCTTTTCTTTTTTCTTTTTCGGTTGGGTATTTTTTGTTTCTTTGTATTTCAAATCTTTGACTTGATTCTTGGGATCCTCTTGTCTGCTGCTGGATCTCTGTAAATTATTCTTTATTTCAGTCAGTGTATGCTTAATTTCTAGTTGGTCCTTTTTCATGTCCTCCATGGTCTCACTATACTTATTGAGGGATTCATTAAATTTATCGGCGGTTTCCATAAAATTCTTGAAAAACCTTATAAACGTGGCCTTGAACTCTATATCCAATCGTTTGCTTTCCTCCATTTCTGCCATTTGTGACCTGTTTCTTTGTCTCCGCATTTTGGCAGCTTCCCTGTGTTGATAGAGTGGCCCTGCGCGCCAGGTGTCCTGTAGGGCCCAGTAGCTCAGCCTCCCCAGTTACCTGGGGTGGACACTCTTGGTGCACTCTTGGTGCCTTGGTTGTTGTAGAATCACTGGGAGGAATTGACCTCCAGGCCAATTGGCTGTGAGAATCAGCTGTGTCTAAAGTGGGAGAACTTCTGTGCTGAAGACACCCTTCTGGGGCAAGACTTGCTTCAGTGGGGCTTTGGTGCTCACTGAGTCTGCTCCCTGAGTGTGTCCCTTATGGATCTGAGGAGTTGCAGTCTGGTACCCTCTGACCACTGGGTACAGTGGCTCCTGGATCTAAGGAGGTGCCAATTCAGCCTCTGCCTGAGGCCACACAGCAGGAGCCACGAAGAGGCTCAGCTGTGAAGCAATGCAAGCCACTGCGGGGCCTTGGGCCTTCTCTTGGAAGTTCCGGGTCTGCCTGGCTGGGCTGCAGTTAGGTACATTCACATGCAAAAGCCTCTGCCGCAGCCTGGGTGGGGCGGGGTCTCAGGGAATCAAAGGGTGGATCAGGGAGCTATGGCTGATTCTCCGCCCGGAGTCGAGGGTCTCAGTGACCCGCTAATTGCTGCAAGCACCTCTGAGGGAAAGCCGCCTTCAAGTTCGCCCGCTGCCGGACAGACCAGCTTCTCCCCGTATGAGACCTGGGTCCCCAGAGACTTCCCGGAACCGGAGTTCAGAGCAGTCAGGAGTTTGTGATTCAAAAAGACAGCCGCGTCCTCAGGTGCCACCCCCTTTCCTCGCGCGCGCGAGCCACCGTACCTCTGCACTTCACCTCCGCAGCGCCTCTGGCTCTCAGTGTGCTTTTCTTTCCTTCTAGTTGTGGAATTTACACTCAGCCAGCCTTCCTGTTGTTCTGGATGATGTTTGCTCAGTCCTTTGCGGTAATTTTCAATTGTTGTGGGAGGCGACAATTTCCCGGTGTTTACCTATGCCGCCATCTTAGTTTCTCCTGTCAACCTTTTCCAGTAGATCTCATTTGTTGTCCTACTCTCCTAGCATTTGTGTGACTGGTGTTGTAGTGTAAATATTTAAATGGCTATATCTTATTTAAGTATATTGCAAGTATGGCTCTTAATATTACCTGAAGAGCCTCGTACAGAACTCCATATATATGTTATTCATGAAAATTATGGGCTGTTTTTCTTATATCTCACCTAAGGATAAGACTTTATTGATTTGAGAGAGAGAAGAAGGGAGAGGAAGAGGGAAACATTGACCTGTTGCTTCCTGCATGCACCCTAACTAGGGATCACACTCACAATTTGGGTGTGTACCCTGATCAGGAATCAAACCTGTGACATTTTGGTGTCTCGGATGATGCTCCAACCCACTGAACCACACCAGCCGGGGCAAGAGCTATTTTTTATATTTCTCAGAAGGTAGATAATCTGAGGTTATATGGAAGCTGTTGATTTATACACAGTTGAATTAAACAGAATGTTATCACACAATTCTCATGACACCAACTGGGTGCCCTAAATTTTAATAAATTCATAACACTGTCTCCCTGGAGGAGTGTCAGATCCCACAGGTTAAGGGCTCACTCCCACAAGACTGGTCCCACCCCGATTCGATGCCAGTCATAAGTAGTAGAACTCCCGAGTATCCCCAACTTCTGTCCAAGTAGGCTACAAATCAGAGGTCCTTTGGACCTCCGCCTAGGGTTTGATTAATTTGTTGATGTTATATATTTTTAAAGTTATATATACAGTGAGTGTCCAGATTATTATGACCACCTGACATTTGTAGGCAAATTAGCTATAATTTCGTGCTGAAGTTGCTAAAGGGCCAGACCATTATAAATAGGGAAGCAGGTTGTTTACCACGACAGTAGAAGTGATTTTTTTCTGAAGATATGGGCAAACAATGCGATTTAACAGCCTTTGAACATAGGATATATATTATGATGAGTGGCCAGATTATTATGTCCACCCCATCAGTACTTCCTTGGGCCACCTTTTGCCTTCAATACTGCGGCGATTCTTCTTGGCATTGGCTCCACAAGATGTTGAAAGGTGATGCGAGGAATCTGACACCATGCCTGAGGAATAGCATGTCCAGTCCTGTGAGATTTGATGGTTGTGGAACCAGCTGCCTGATGGCTCTTTTAACTTCGTCCCACAAATGCTCAATTGGATTGAGATCTGGTGATTGTGGGGGCCACCTAAGCAAGGTAAAGTCTCCCTCATGTTCTTGAAACCACTCCTGCACATTATGAGCACCATGGCATGGTGCATTGCCTTGTTGGAAGAAGCCATCTCCATTGGAATACGCCATCAACATGATAGGATGAATTTGATCAGCAACGATACTTAGGTATGTTGCGCTATTCAGACGTTGCTCCACACGAACTAAAG